TGCTTGTGCTTACCACTGATTAATGCAATACAAATAGCCTTTTGCTAATTCGTGTGCCATCTTGTTGCCTTTTTGTGTGTGTTTACTTTGTTGCGTAGGCTTACTCGCCCATTTCGAGTGCCGCACGGGGCCCCAACGATTACCCCCGTGACAGTTGGTATCAGAGCCAGGTCCTCCTTTTAAGCCATTCAACCCGCAACGCGAGTTATAGCATGAAGCACAACAGGGACATCGTGGAGGAGATCGAGCATGGACTCTCCACATCCCATGAGGCTGATGATGCGCCCGTCGATGACATCGGCAAGGACAAGGAACCGAAGACCAGCAAACGTGATAAATCTTCCAACAAGCATGCAACCGTTGAGTTGCGCATGCTGCGTTGTGAAGCCACCGTAGGTGAGATGCGAGACTCGATAGACGAGTTGCATCAAAACATGGAAGCCATGGACAACACACTAGTCGATATTGAAGGTCGCTTGAGTGGAGTCGTGGACAAGGTCCGAGACATAATCAATGGCACGCTCAAGCAAATTTGTAGCACTGCACGCCAACAAGAAGCAAGCTCCTCCAACTCGCAGGTCCAATACGGGCTTGACAGTTTTCAAGCTCAGCTCGATGAGATGAAGAACGAGTGGGCAACGTGGAGAAGAAGCACCTCCACATCAATGGCCGTCCAGGCCCAACTAGATGAAATGAGAGCGGAGTGGGCCTCACTGAAGTTCGTCACATGTGCCCCCTCCGACACCCAAGCTCAATTAGAGGAGCTCAAAGCAGAATGTGCAATCTTGAAGAGGGCCRTCGCTAATCCAGCCAGCACTTCCTTTGCACATACTCCCTCCCACATCAAGATTAGGGAGCCAACTCCCTATTCGGGTACCCGCAATGCACAAGAGTTCGACAACTTCCTGTGGAAAATGGAATAGTACCTTGCCGCCGCCAATGTGACTGATGAAATGACTCAGGTACGCACTGCTACTATGTATTTGACTGATGTTGCTATGTTGTGGTGGCGCAGAAGGTGTGTTGATATAGAACGTGGTACGTGTTATCCGTACCTGAGCTGACTTTAAAAGAGAGCTGAAAAGACAGTTCTACCCAGAGAACGTGGAATATCTCGCTCGTCGCAAGATGAAAACTCTCAAGCACGGCGACTCCCTCCATGACTATGTCAAAGAGTTTTTAGCCATCACATTAGAAGTCATCGACATGTCAGACAATGACTTATTGTTCAACTTCATGGATGGCCTAAAGCCTTGGGCCGAGCTCGAGCTCCAACGATGCAATGTTCAGGACCTTGCCTCCGCCGTGGCCGTGGCTGAACAACTTATTGAACGGAGATTATCAGATGATGAAGGAAGCAGACCAACTAGCCCGCGTACCACACATTCGAGTGGGGGAGATAGACAACCAAGTCCCCCGAAGGAGAAGCCACCCTTCAACCACAAACCAGTCGAGTACCACAAAGGGAAGCAGCCCCAAGGAAGTCAAAGCTACTACAACAACAGATATCAAGGGAGACCCAGCCGTCCTCCCATTTGCTACATTTGTAGGGGGGAGCACTTCA